TAGGACAGTGAAAGTGTATTACTGATTATGCCAGATGAAAGCAAATTGCTTTACATGATGGTCTTTAATAGTAACTATTAAGAAAAAATATTTGGTTATTCAGACTACTAGGGAATACATAAATTTGCTCAAGCAATGAAATGACATTTGGAATAGCAGTCCAAATTAGTTATCATTAAGCTTATGATAATCCACTATTATTTCCTAAACTTAATTTGTTTTGTGCATAGGTCAAAAAATATGTACCCTGAAAGTACATCAATTTCTACTATCTAGAACTATGGAAATGCTTTTAGCTTACTATTTTCCTAAAAAGAGGCAATTTTAGTGGCTTCTCCTTGGACTTTCCCATCACAACAGACTTCACTCCACAGATCAGGAAGCCAGTATGGGGCTTCTAACAATCCTTGAATATACCTACATTATGCATCAAAGATTTAGAGTAATAACCATGGAATGGATACAAGGACCCAATAGCTCACACAAGGTGGACCCAAGCTAAAACTCTGAATGGTTGATCACAGTGACATTTCAAGTGCCTGCAATTATTGTTGCCTCAGAGTTGGTATTCAGTAATCCCTGCAAAGTCTGCACAGTCTATGGTAAAAATAATAGGTCCCACTAGGAAAGGCTGGGAGAAAAATAGTACAAATTTGAGGCAGTGGAGTTCTTCAACATTCTGAATATTAAAATTACATTTGGGAATGGACTAAAGAAACATGACTATTTTTTTTTTGAAATTGAAATTAGACTTCTGTTTACCTGACTTAGGATGTGTTTGCTAAATCAATTGATTCAGAATTCAATATATATCTGTCTTTTTATCTTCTAGGGAACCCATGGTCAACCAGGCACCATTACAGGAGTCTTTGTTCTTCTGTACACTCAGTTAGGGTATGCACGTTTGTTGATCAAATGGTATCACAAGACCCTTGCCACCAAGGATCTGATTGTCTCCACTGCATTTAAGGATTCCCAATTTGATAATAGCAGCTCCCAGTGTAATTTCTGACCTACACAGAAGCAACCTCGAAACCCTTTAAGGATGCCAGGACTGCCCTAACAAATTTGATTCTCATAGTCATGATGAAAAGTATGTTCCTGCTGGGCGTCTCACACCTGTAATCCTAGCTACTCTGGAGGCTGATATCTGAGGATCATGGTTCAAAGCCAGCTGGGCAGGAATGTCTGTGAGACTCTTATCTCCAATAAACCACCAGAAAACTGGAAGTGGCACTGTGGCTCAAGTGGTAGAGCGCTCACCTTGAGCTGAGAGCTCAGGGACAGCACCCAGGCCTAGAGTTCAAGTCAAATGATGGACCAAAAAAAAAGAAAGTATGTTCTTTGGCCTCTCCCACCATAGACAAGCAGATCTTACAAGACAAAGTTACTTCAACACTCCAGTTTTCCTAAGCCTCTGCATACCTTCCTGTACAGTATACTAAGGCAAGCCTGGCATTTGAACTTCATGTACAGTAGTTTGTACCTTATGGTATAAATTTCAGCCAATTAATAATTAGTCCTTTCTAACACCTCTAATTACAACAATGACTCCAGAAGCTCTGCTTAGTGGGTCCATATCAATAAATTCAGGCTGATCTAACATTAAGTTCCTTCAACTATGATCCCATGTCTTCCCCTCCACCTCATTCTCCAGTGCTGAGGATGTTAGGCAAGCAGTCTACTACTGAGCTACACATCCATCCTGTCCCATCTGCCTCATACCCATTTCCACACATATTTCCCTGATTTTCTCTCTGCAAAAATAGAATCTATTATGCAATGCTTTTAGGAACACAGTATACCTTCTCAGGGATCTTACTTTACAGCCTACTTTTTAGGGATACTCTTATTCTAGTTATAGGTCTAAAAGCAAAGGAGTGGGGGACAAGCCATGAGGAAAACCAGCAAGGTGTTGCAAAGCAACTACCACAGAGGAAGGTCTTCAGGCCAAACAGGGTTAATCTTGTCAAATAGAGATTGCAGAACTGCCCCTATGGGCAAACAATATTGGGCAAAACTTGGGAGTTCCTGACCTTAAGGATCTCTACAACCACTCAGCACAAAATTTGGGGCAGTAAGGATTCCCTAGCAAGAGACAAACTAGAAAGAAGTATAGATATACAGTACTATAGCCTACTAAGTTGACACGTAACTTTATCACCATACATAGTAAACTTACAGATTTATAAACCAAATGTTACAATAGGAAAAGTCTCTTAATAAGAATATTTTACCTGCTTCAAAAAGATGTGCATTTCCAGTACAGACACTATGTTAACAAGAGAAACAGTTTTTCTTCCAAGACTACATGGAGGAAAAATTCCATAAACATTTAAACGTTGTTATGAAACACTAACACTGTTTCCACATTTCAAAAACAAATTTATGTTTATAAAAACTTAAGTGTAACTTTCAACCTTCAACTTTACAACAGAAATCACTTTTGAAATTGCACCCGTAAGCATTCTTACTTTCTTAAAAGTGATTTTAAATAAACCCTCTGTATCACTTAAAAATATCAGACATTTAGAGGCTGGGAAGGCGGCTCAGTGGTAGAGTGCTAGCCTTGCATGCATGAGGACATGGGTTCGATTCTTCGGCACCACATAAGCAGAAAAAGCCAGAAGTGGCACTATGGTTCAAGTGGTAGAGTGCTAGCCTTGAGAAGCTGAGGGACAGTGCCCAAGTCCCACAACTGACAAAAAATAAAGAAATAAAAATCAGACATTTAAAACAACTTTGTCAAGGCACCTGAGTTAATCACTGAACAAAATATGAATTGTGTCCTGAAAGAACTCATATTCTGGCAAGATAACATCCTTATCCAGCTATTAACTCTCTTTACATAAACCAAGGATTAAGTACCAAAACATTTCTTGGGAAAAAAATCTATGTGCTGGACAAGTTCCAGTTCTGAGTATGGACTCCCAGCAGACACTGTTTCATTATTGACATAAACTGTGTCTCTGCAGCCTGGGTCCAAAACTTAGCCTTAGCCAAGATAGTTAATCCTCATCTGTAAACAACAACAACAACAACAACAACAAAGAAACAAACAGGGGCTGGGAAGGTGGCTCAGTGGTAGAGCGCTTGCCTTGCATGCCTGAGGCCCTGGGTTCGATTCCCCAGCACCACATAAGCAAAAACAAAAAAGTCGGAAGTGGCACTATGGCTCAAGTGGTAAAGAATTAGCCTTGAGCTGAAGAGCTGAGGGACAGCACCCAGGCCCAGAGTTCAGGCCCCACCACTGGACCAAAAAAAAAAACAAAACAAAAAAACCAGAATTGTAACTACCATACTAGATTACATAGTAACTTAATGCAAATATGCAAAGCACATAGCTTGGAGCATAGAAGGTATTGAGCTAATAATATTAGCTATTATTAATTCAATTTCTAGAAAAAAAAGACAACAATGGAGAAAATAATACCAAATACTTGTGAAGCATTTCTATCTGATCCATTTACTTCTTGCATTACTAATTCCTAGAGTCTTTCCTATACCTTCAACTGATTTTATGACTTCTAGTTAGATTTTACAAAAGCTACAACTTGAAATCTCTATATATCTCATGCATAACATGTATTAATCATGAGTTTGTATAAATATGTAGTTACTAAGACTTTAATGAGAAAAAATTCTAAATCAAGAAGAGCAGTGCATCCCTGAAATCCCAGGTTAGGAAGCAAAGGCAGAAGGATCACAGGAGCTGGAGGTGAGGTTGGCCTATATAGGTGAGCCGCAGTCAAAAATATTTTCTTTTCAAAGTCAAAATTAGACTAATTTTCCCTAATTACAACACCAGTTATACCAAGAAATTGGAACAAGTAAATATGGGTCATGTAATTGCTTGGTTAGAACCATCTGAAAATATACACATTCAGTTTTTAAGACTTATACCTTTGTAGCCAACAATACTTATGAAGTAAACTAATTGCATTTAGAAAAAAAGAAATAGAAAGGAAAGAAGGAAGGAAGGAAGGAAGGAAGGAGAGAGAAAGAAAGAAAGAAAGAAAGAAAGAAAGAAAGTAAGAAAGAAAGAAAGAAAGAAAGAAAGAAAGAAAGAAAGAAAGAAAGAAAGAAAGAAAGAAAGAAAGAAAGAAGGAACGGGAAGGAAGGAAGGAAGGAAGGAAGGAAGGAAGGAAGGAAGGAAGGAGATTGCTGGTCCTTATTTGTTATGAGTAAAACTCTTGGTTCCAGGTTTACAGAGGGTAATAACCTCTGAAAGACTGATGTTCACAATTTGTAAGTGACCAGATTGGGAGGTGCTTGCCTTTCCCAAAGTCAAGTCCATTAATTAATGTAACTGTACTTACTACATGTAAGAAGGCAGACTGGTGAAAGGTATTTTGAAGGGACCCATTTTAGTAAAGAACTCATTAAAGTGGAGAGGTCCTAGGACACAACATTAATATGTAGTGCATTAACAAACCACCTTAATCCACAGGTAGTTTTAATTCCAATCTCGAGGTAAGGGCCAAGAAAGTCTTATTTCCTCCTTTCCTCTCATACCAAAGTCCAGCCAAAGGAGTGCTGAGAGCCCAGATGTTTCTCAAGTCTACCTAGGTCGCCCTTTCCCCCATTCTGACAAGAGAAGGGACTCCAAGTCGGGCGATAGGAAATTGGCCTGCTAGTCCCTACGTGAAGCTATTGCTCCTTTTTAGTAACACTATACCGGCGGGTGTTTCTAGGCCCCCCAACTGGCTTCCGAGGCAAGAGAGGGCAGGCAGAGGGGAGAATTCCAACCCAGGAGGGAAAACAGTCGCAAAGGCAGGCACTATCAGCCAGGGCTCTAGCACGACCGACGAGGGCGGGTGACCTCTTTCGGCCGCAGGGGGTGGTGAGGCCGGGACCGTGGGTGACCCCCGCCAAAATGACCGACGCCTCCAAGGCTCGAGAGCGGCACGCGCCGGGCAGTTGCGGGCTCTGCTCCCCGAAATTGAAGGTGCCCTCAGGACCCTTCCTGCGGCCCCACGCACGGACTGGGCCCAAACTACCTCTGAGGACGTCGGGGCAGCCGCTGCGCCCGGGCGTACAGTCCGGACCACAGCTCCTCAGACGCCACCGCAGTATTTCCTCCAGCAGACAGGCCTAGCCGAGCGAGCGTCAGAGCGCCGAACCCGCAGGACTTCGGTGGGCGCTCGCTCTCGGATGCCCCAGGTCCTGCTAGCCGCGCCCACAAGCAGGGTACTCGTGCCGCCCGTGCCTGCTCCGCGCCTTCACGCCGCACGCCCCCGCGCGTGGAACTGTGGGAGTTGTAGTTGTAGTTCTGGCGCTAGAGGAAGCGCCAGAGCGTCGTGTCACGTGAGGCCGCGCTTCCGGAAGTGAGGCAACAAGACGCGCCTGGCGTGGAGCCGCAGTTTCCGCAAACAGAATCGTGGTGCGCTGTGTTGGTGAGTGTGGGCTTCGGCCGGTCCTTGTGTCTTTGTCTGTCTCGCTCGGGTAAAGGAGTTAATAAGAGGAACACGGACTGTCGAGGTGGCTCTTCCTCTTATCCCTTTGCCCCACTGCTAGCTGCGTGAAGGGCTTTTCTGCGATCCTAGCGGATAGTCCCCGTGGGTACTGAAGTGGATGGAGGACGCCATTGCTTCTCCGGGCCGGGGGAGCCCGGGGAGACGCCAGAAGCTGCCTGTTCCCACCTAGTGCCGAGCTAAGGGGAGGCCTGGGCGCAGTGTGGGACCTGAAGAAGGGGTGGCTGCGTCTTGAGCGACGCCTTGAGAGTGTGAGACGTCGAGCTCATTGACTGACCTAGGAGGATGGATTTGGCGGAGCTCTTTCCCCACTCCGTTGCGTGATCTTGAACCCGCAGCATTGTGCAGCCAAGCCGATGAGTGAGAGCGTAGTCGTACTTAGCTTGAGCTGAGGGTAGGCAGGAGAGATTGAAATGGCCTGGAGACGTGGCTGGCTTCACAGGTGTGAACTCAAAACCAACTCGAAAAAGGTCCCCGGTGATCGAACTCGACCGTCTGAATTCTAAAGTTTTTTTTTCAGGGGATCTGACAGGGAGCTCGCTTCTGTTGGGTATACTTTCATTGGGCCACTTTCTGTTTTTACTGTTTTTGAGAAGCTGGGATCGAACCCAGCTCCTAAAGCCTGCGAGGCAAACAAGCACTCTACCAACGGGGCTATTTGATATTCAGTTCTAAACACCCAATTCTAAAGTAATCTGATACGCTGTTTTCTTGATGTTACAGTTGTTGAAATAATGTATGTAAATGAAGTTCACACTTCAACCGCAATAATAATTTTAGGTGATAGGATATATTGCTTTATTTGAATGTAAAAATTGACTTCTTTGCTTTTAGGAAGTAAATGGCAAAGGAAGAGAAATGGGGATCTCATAACTATTTATACTTTTCAAATAATCATTTTAAGTAGTTATTTGGCAAGTTGTCAGGCTACTTAATTTTTTAGGGTATTGTGAAGGTCTGAACGGGTGAACCCTGGATCTCCACCTCCAAAGTCGTTGGTATTACATGCATGCACTCACATGCCAGGTTTGTTTTTAAAATAGTGTTCTTCTGACTTTTGCCTAGGCTTTTTTCTAGCCATTGTTCTCCTTTCTCTGCCATTGCATATGACACCTGGCCCCCTGGTTGATTTGTTTGTTCACTGATTCAGTTCTATTTGACACTCTTTAGAAATCACATGGTTACTAATGAAAGCTGACATCACTTGAAATTCTTCCTGGCTCATTCTCTTAAGCAAACCTGTTCTTTTACTTTATGCAAAAACTTTTTTTTTTTTTTTTAAGAATAGGTTCTGTCTTCATGACATATTCTGAATCTGAATCTTACAGATTTTTTTCTTTTTTCTTTTGTTAGTTGTGGGGCCTTAACTCTGGGTCTGGCGCTGTCCCTCAACTCTTCAGCTCAAGGCTCGCGTACTACCACTTGAGCCACAGCGCCACTTCCAGCTTTTTCTGCTTATGTGGTGCTGAGGAATCGAACCCAGGGCCTTATGCATGAAAGGCAAGCACTCTACCACTGAGCCACCTTCCCAGCCCCTAGCCTGACATTTTAATAATAGTACATTGTTGTATCTTCTTGAAGACATAATTCACCTTGAGCTTCTATAGTTAAGAGGTCAGTGTGTTTATTGAATAACTTAATAAGTAGATTAACAATTCCTGTCCCATCGATAACTCAGTTACTTCCCTCTCCCTCCATTTTACAGGCCTAAGATTTAAGTGTCATTGAAACTTAAAGCTAAGTATTGAACCTTGACTAAAACCATTTCTACTCTTTCATCCATTTTGAAATAAGGATTTAAGAAGTTCTTGTTTTAGATTCCTGGGTTAGTTGTGCATATTTTGTGATCAGAATACTTTCGAGAATAATTTAATAGGAATAAAGATTTACTTTGGCTGTTGTTGTAGAGATTTCTGTCCATAGTCATTGACTCTGTTGATTCTAGCACTGTGGTGAGGCAGAACATCATGGCAGTAGGAATGTGTAGAAGCCAAGGCTATTCACCTCATGTCGGGCAGAAAGTAGAGAAGGGGAGGCAGTTTCTGGAACCAGATACAATCTTTAAAGGCATATCATCAGTGAACTACTTCCTCCAATGAGTGCCTAGCTCCTAAAGTTTCCAGAACCTCCCAAAATGGTACTGCTTGATGGGGAACCAAGCCATTGATGCATGAACTTGTGGACAGCTTTCATATTAAAACCATAATTTTGAAACCTTTCTCTTGATTTGCTTCATCCCTTAGATCAAAAGTTTACTTTTATTAGCTTAGTCCAAAGAATTTAGTATGTCATAACAGTTTTATGCCTATACCAAAAATTAATACATAAATTTGGAAAAGTAATATTTGTATTTAATTCTTTTTTTAATTTTTTTATTGTAAAGATACTGTACAGAGAAGTTACAGTTATATGAGTAAGCCAATGAGTACATTTCCTATTCAGCATTGTTACCCCCTTCTTTGTTTTTCACATACCATCCTTTCTCTCCCCAATACTTCCCTTCCCTTCCCTCCCCCCTGAAAGTTGTAAAGTTTTTTTTTCAACTTAGTGACTTGTACATCTCATTGTTACAATGGGTCAGCCTGTATCCTTGTTGCAGCATTTTGTTATTTCCTTTCCCTCCCTATTTGTATTTAATTCTTGATTGGCCATTGTTACGTACTAATCAAATATTTGCAACTGTTAGGTACTCCAAACATTTTGGATTTGAGGATGAGAGATAACTCATTTGTATTTCTACATCCCAAGTTCATCAGTTTTAATGCCCACAAAAACTTTATGAATAAAATCATAGATTTTTAGAAAAATTATGATTAGTACTACTTCATAGTCACAAGTTGATGCACAGTACATATATATTAACATTTTTCAACATTCTATGTACATTAAAACTTTTAATTGGATGCTGAAATAGCTAGCTCCTACTTTAAAATTGTTTTAAAGACAGCATTTGTAATATAAATTTTTTTTGTAATATCAGATTTTTGCCTTTTCAGATGTTCATGAGGTTTTATCATCAGTTCAAGTAATTAGACATGGAAAGTACTACAAAAGCTGTGAAATGTGAAAAGATGTCTCTTGACCAGGCAAAAGCATCAGTAGGTTCTGAAGCAGAATATTCGTTCAGTATTAATGACAATGCAACTGTACCTGAGACTGGGCTTTCTGAAAAGACTCCTATCTGTGATCAGATAAACATACCGAAAAAGAGAAAGGCATTTGAAGATGGTCTTGTAGAGGAAGGTTCCAGCAATGAGGAGGACTCTCCATCCAAGAAAAGCATACCTGATGTTGACGTTGTCCCAGAGGAAAAGGGTTCTGGTGATGAAGGTGTTTCAAAGAAAAGAAAACTGGAAACTGATGATGTTTCAAAAGATGAACCTTCCACTGGAGATGGCACTCAGAAAAAGAGAAAAAGAGAACTGGAGGACATTCCTGAGAAAAATAAAGTATGTTTCTTGTATTTTATTTGTACTACAGTACACTAGCTGTAAATGTGCAACTGTGGAATTATACTGTTTTTTACATAAAGTTAATAGCTTGAGAATGTCTGTGTGTGTGTGTATGTGTGCACACACATGTGCACACACATGTGTGCCCTTGTGCAGGTATACCAGTACCAGGGCTTAAACTCAGGCCCTTGTACTCGTATTGGCTTTCTTCCCCATGTCTGAGGCCCTGCTTCTTGAGCCATGCTTCCAGTTTTGCATTTTGCTGGTTAATTGGAAATGGAGTCTCTTCGACTTTTCTTCCAAGGCTGGCATTGAACCTAGATCTTTCAACTTTCAGTCTACTGAGTAGCTAGGATATAGGAGTAAGCCATTACTGCCTAGCAAATGTAACTACTTTAAATACATAGGAAGAGATAGGACACAAGTTAAACTATTGTTGGGCTGGTGATATAGTTTGAACTCAAGGCCTCACATTCTTGCCTAATTTTTTCACTAAAGGCTAGCACTCTGCTACTTGATCCTATACCTCCATTTCTGGCCTTTTGCTCATTAACTGGAGGCAAGAGTCTCACAGACTTTTTTGCCTGGACTGGCTTTGAACCCTGATCCTCAGATCTCAGCCTCCTGAGTAGCTTGGATTATAGGCATGAGCAACCAGCGCCCAGCCCATCAACCTTAATGTTGTGAAAACTGAGTCAAATTTTGCCATCATCCATGAAGGGGAAAGTATTGGATAAGCCATTGATGTTCTTGTTTCCAAAGGAACTGGTATTTTAAGCATAGTTTTTCAAACTTTTACTGGCAGATGTTTTTCAAGTGAGATCTTAACCATTACAGCAACTATGTAAAATAAAAGATTTGTTTGAAAATCATTTGTTGAAAACTCCTCCTCCTCATGTGGAATTTTTATGCAGGATGCATTTTTTTTTTTATGCAGGTTACATTAGATAATTATTTGAGTAAGTAGAAGTCACTGACACTGAGTGTAGTCTATTAAATTATAATCTTATGTATATTGTTTAATCCACCAATTTTACAATAATAATATCGCAAATATAATGTCTTCTGTTTTGTTCCTATAATTGCCATCTATTGATTAATTTATTGAATGGACTAAATTAGTGCTTTGGATCTGGTTTTATTAATAAATTAACAAATTTTAAGGACAAGGTGAAAATTTTAAACTTTTTTTATGGAATAGAGGAAAACTAGTCTTAGGTCTGGTGATAATTAGTGTCATTTCTATGGATAATAATGTTGCCGAGTGAGGTTCACTTTAGTAGTATTTTATCCTTTCATAGGTCAGATGTTCTGATAGGCTTAGTTTTTTGTTGTTTTTTTTGGTGGGGGGGGGGTCCAGTCATGGGGCCTGAACTCTGGGCCAGGGTGCTGTCCCTCAGCTCTTCAGCTCAAGGCTAGCGCTCTACCGCTTGAGCCACAGTGCCACTTCTGGCTTTTTTCTTTTTGCTTATGTGGTGCTGAGGAATCGAACCCAGGGCATCCTGCATGCAAGGCAAGCGCTTACCACTGAGCCACCTTCCCAGCCCTTTTCACTATGTTCTAATCTTTAATCTTTTTTGTTGTTCTTTCAGAGCCTGGATGAAGGACACAGCTCAGCAGTGGCTGCCCACTACAATGAACTTCAGGAAGTTGGTTTGGAGAAGCGTAGTCAAAGTCGTATTTTTTACCTAAGAAACTTCAATAATTGGATTAAAAGCGTTCTTATTGGTATGATTGGTCTTTGCCTTTTCATTTGCAGTTTTTTAAATATAAGTTATTATTAATAACTACTGTTTTTGGTACTAGGGGTTGAAACGAGGGTCTTTCAAGAGTCAGAGATGCTCTAGCACTAAGCTACATCTCCAGTCTAGCTTGCTCACTTGTTCTCTCTTTTTTTTCTTCCCAAATATTAACTATATATCAGACCATGGAGTCTATTGAGTCTATTACTTTTTTGTCAGTCATAGGGACTGAACTCTAGGCCTGGGCTCTGTCCTTCAGCTCTTCAGCTCAAGGCTAGTGCTCTACCACTTGAGCCATAGCACCATTTCCGGCTTTTTCTGCATATGTGGTGCTGAGGAATTGAACCCAGGGCCTCATGCATGAAAGGCAAGCACTACCACTGAGCCATCTTCCCAGCCCAGGTCTATTACTTTTTATACATTTATAAAGCTGGATCTTTATAAAGCTGGATCCAAAACTAGGCCCTTGAGGTAAATACTTGTAATATTTACTTTATGGTAGACAGAATAGGGTATTAACAGGTATTCAAGTGATGTAAGTTAGTAGGCATTTAGAAGGCGGTAGGATTAAAATGGCATTCATACTATTAATGCCTTCCTCTTAGTTTTGGATCAATGGCATGTTTCTGGATTAAACATTCAGGTTTCATTAAGTCAACAAGAAAGTCATGATTTTTTGGCATCTTTAGTCCAATAAACTTGCCATTCTTGTATGAAAGAAATAATCTTTATTTTTTAAGATTGATAAAGATGTTCATTTGTGGGGGAACCAGCGTTTTATCAGTAGATATTCATCTTTGAAATTAAAGTGGAAATGGACTAAAGTGTGATTATAGATTTATTGCTTTGTAAATCTAATGCATAAAGAAATATGTCTTTTATACTTGTTTAGAGGGTTTTTTAAAATTGTTTGCTTTGAAGATTTTGATAATGAAAGGATGTTCGTTTTTTTTTGAGCCAGTCTAAGCAAAATTGAGAATGTATTTTTTTGTACTGGGTACTTATCTCTGGGCTTTTTTTGCTCAAGGATAGTTCTCTACCAATTGAGCCACAACTTCACTTCTAGCTTGTTGGTGGTTAACTGGAGATAAGAGTCTCATGACTTTGCTACCTGGGCTGGCTTCCACCTGAGATGCTCAGATCTCAACCTCCTGAGTAGCTAGGATTACAGGTGTGAGCCACCAGCACCTAGTGAGAATGCCTTTTTAAAAAAAAAAAAAATACTATAAAGAATGAAATGCTAAACATAAATACTTTTTTAAACTAGTTATAATGTTAACCTAGTAATTTTCCAAAAGGTATTTGTAACAAAATATAAGTCAGATATGGGACATTTTTTCTCATCCTTTCAGTATTAGTTTCTTTTTCAGTTGTTGTAACTCTCTGTGAGTGATTTGCTGTGCATCTGTCTTTCTGGTCCTACTTTAATCATTATGATCTGTGCTAAACTTTCACTGTCTTGTTCCTTTCTCTCCTCAGCACATTCTTATTTATTTTTCCTTTTATCTTGGTGCTTACAGTTTAGTAATAGATGAGTACAATTCTTGAATGTGATAAAGACTTCCTTGAAAAGAATATAATTATTACTAATAGTCATTATTAATATAATAATAGTCACATTAGAAATAAAAGATTTATAATTGCATTTGTACTGTTTCGATTTGTTATGCTATTGTTCATAACATGACATGACCTTAAATGTGGAATAGTTGTGCTTCTGTTGAAAGTTATTGTCAGATCCTATAGAAGTATTTGTGTAGAATTAGTCATCTATACAGTGTACACATGAACTACATATTGTTAGACTTTAACAGGGAAAGTAGATACAGGATTCATTGTATCAAGTTCTAGAATTACTGAATACTGAATAATGTCTTTAGGACATTAATAAGCCTTTAGCCAGGCATGGTGATTCCCACTTGTAATCCCAATACTTAGAAAGCTAAGGGAGAAGGCACACTTTCAAGGTTAGCCTGAGCTTCATGGCAAAACTCCCCAAAAGAAAAAAATCCCATATATGTATGTGTGAATATATATGTATGTATACATATGCATATATGTATATATAAATGAGCTTTTGGGTGCTGTTTAAACTTTTTGGTTATTGATATGTGGTGATTTTTGTTAATTAGTTCAATATGGTAAATTGGGTATTTAGGAATTCTGGTAGTAAAAAAAAAGAAATTCTGATAGTAAAACTAAAAAGGAGTAGTGTTTTTTTTGATGGTCCTTATATATCTGTTGGTAAATGTGACTAGATTTTTGATAATCAAGCATTCTGTGGCTACTTTAGTTTACTTAAGTGTGTAGGAAGTTAAACACCTAGCTATGAAAAGAGCAAGCTACCAAAGAAGTCTTTCTCCTACAAATGCTACTTAATGTTTTCTACAACTTAATGTTGACTCAAATTCTGCAAATGGCTTTCAAAATGCTATCCTTGTAAAACTTAATGATAGAGAATCAAGTTAACTGACTCTGGGTTGTATTTTGCAATATTGTTACAAACTACATAAATGGATATATATTAGTCTATATTACATGTTACCAATAGTAACAATTTATATTTTAGTAAAAATAAAGAGAAAACATTATGACAGATTTTTTTTTTTTTTAGGGGAATTTCTAGAAAAGGTACGGCAGAAAAAAACCCGGAATATCACTGTTTTGGACCTGGGATGTGGTAAAGGTGGAGATTTGCTCAAGTGGAGAAAGGGAAGAATCAACAAGCTAATTTGTGCTGGTAAGATAAATATTGGCATAGAAAAGAATTATTTGTGATCAGTCAGATGAGAGGGAAATTATCCTGTTGCTAAAGTATCTTGTTTTCTGCTGGGTCTGTGCGTTAAATGGGTATTTTTAAAAAATTAGCTCTAAGACTTTCCAGATGGTTTGGCCTTCACACAAGGAAGGAGGTTATCAAAGATGACACAAATCATGTCTAAAGGACAGACTTCAAACTACTAGGCCAGGTAGGAAATTCGTACATCAAAATGAATAGTGATTAGATGCCTCAAACAAAGGAAAAACTTCATTGTTCACTATTGGAGGTGTGAGTGATCTGAAACTTTTAGGTTGAGAGGAGACAGTGTAACATTTGTCTTAGCTCCATCATGAACAATATTTCAGGGTAAAGAAATAGATACTGAAGCATAAGTGAAAAATTAAGGGAACTTTGTGACCGAATAAATCAAGCACCGAATGCAGTGATCAGTCTTTAGAGTGGGAGCAGCTGACATAGTTTCTTTCTGATGTTTAGAGGGAGTACAACAGCTTTACCTCCAAAGCACTACTACATTAGTCAACAGTTCTCAATTGTTTTTGTTTAATAAGCCCTGTAAGTGTTAAAGACACTAGAATACATTTGATGCTAACCCTAATTAAAGCTGAGAATTTAGAAGATGTTTTAATTATGTGGATGATGATATTTTCCTTTATATTTTTGCTAGCACTTCATAAAGTCTAGAACAATAGGAACAGGAATATTCTCAGCTATATTGATATTTAATATGTAGTTGCTAAATTAATGTCTTCAGTTAATTTTGAGTATTGATCTTTGATTTCACATCAAAAATTGACAAGTGGTAGTTTCTTCAAGGTTGTTTATAATAGAGAATTTAAAGACTTGGTGACAAACTTTCTTAATTTGTTTCATTAAAATCCATTAGTTCATTTTGTACTTTTCAAATGTTTTTGTAATATTTGGAATATACTATTTGTATGATATGTACTGTATAATTTATATTTTGTTATATTTATATTATATATACTGTATAAATATACTGTTTATATACTATATACTATTATACTATTTTCTATATGTTTTAATAACAGAAAAGTCTTAAGAAACATCCATCCGGTGGTTAGTAGAAGTTTTTCCAATTGTAATTTTTCACTCAAAAGTCAAATGATATCTTTGACAACAAAATTATCCATTGTTTTCCTTGAAGTGATACTATTGATTTTCAAGAAAATTTGTTTCAGATACTCAGGTGTGAATAACCATAGTTGTCAGTCATTCTGTTAAATCAGCTCAAAGCTTAGAATACAATACAATAGTCACACTTGGCTATGGAGTAGAAGTATTATAGGATATATTCATGAACCAAGAGTTAATAAAATTATCTTTTACTTCTGTGTCAAGGACATTTTCAAAGGAAACTGGCCTTTTTTCTGTACTTTATAGTGGTAGAGAATATTTTAATGTGTCTCCCATACCCTTTGATGCTGCTTTGTTCTATTCATGATCAGTTGCCTACTTTTGTACTACTTACGCAAGTCTCCAAACAGAAGGAAGGCAAAAAACTTTATTTTGAAAGAAGAAACTTGAACTTTTCAAAAGTGGACTTATATATCTATATCTATTTCTGTCTATTTATCTATATATCTATATATGTAGTGTTGGATTCAAATTGGAATCAACCCTTTCTGCTTTTAACTTGGAATAAGCACTTAAGAATTATACTGAAACTTTAAGGTGTCAGTACCTATTTAGAAAGCTTCTCTATTTAGAAAAAGAGAAAGTTAATTCCTTTAGAAATTTAATAAAGCAATTGCACTGCAATAAAGGAAAAACACTTTAGTTTTAAAGTAAGTGTAACTTTTTGCTCACACTAAATTTTAATGCCAATCTTTTGGTTGAGATCACTGTCTTGGTTTTTGCCATCTGTGTTGATTGTTACTAACACCCTTCATCTCTTCCAGATATTGCAGACATTTCTGTCAAGCAATGTCAGCAGCGGTATGAGGACATGAAATGTCGTCGAGATAATGAATACATTTTTAATGCAGAATTTATAACTGCTGACTGTTCAAAGGTAACTGGTTCTTTTAGTTTTATGGTTTGTTTTGTTTTTGTGGTGCAAGGGATCCAACATTGGACTGAGTAGGCAAGTATTCCTCCATCAAGCTATACCCCATTTTTTATTTTAACTCAGCTTATTTATTAAAATATGCTTTGGAGCTGGGCACCCATAGCTTATAATTGTAATCCTAGTTGCTCAGGCGGCTAAGATCTGAGGATTGATGTTTTCAGCCATCCTGGCCAGGAAAATCCCTGAGACCCTTATCTCCAATTAACCACCAAAAAAAAAGCTGGAAATTGTCAGCTGCTGGTGGCTTACGCCTATAATCCTAGCTACTCAGGAGGCTGAGATCTGAGGGTCCCAGTTCAAAGCCAGCCCATTAGAAAGTCCCTGAGACTATCTCCAATTAACCACCAGAAAACTAGAAGTAGAGCTGTGGCTCAGAGTGGTAGAGCACACTAGCCTTGAGCAAAAGAGCTCAAGGATAATGCCCAAGCTCTTGAGTTCAAGCCCTATAACTGACCAAAAAAAAAAAAAAAGCTGGAAATAGACCTGTGGCTCAAAGTGGTAGAGCACTAGCCATGAGCAAAAGAGCTCAGGGACAGTACCCAGGCCCTGAGTTGCAGCCCCCCAGAATATACTCTCACTCTTTCTGCCTTTGTCTCTCTGTCTCTGTCTCTCTTCTCTCTCTCTGTCTCTCTTTCACACACACAATGTGCTTTGAAACAATAAAAATCTTAGGATAGGCCAAATTTGTTAGCTCACACATTTTATACAGAAGGTAGAAAAATGGGAGGATTGTAGTTAAAAAGTTTGTGTAGTTAAAAAGCAGATGTAGTAATACATGCCTATAAGTTTAACTGTGTGGGAGGCAGAAGTAGGAGAATGGCAGTTCTAGTCTAGTCCCAGGCCAAAGCATGAGACCCTACCTGAAAAAAATTGAGGGGATAGCTCAAATGGGGCCCTCAGTTTAAAGCCCAGGAACACAAAGAAAACAAAAGTCTTAGTAAACACATTTTCCATTTAAAGTAGATACTATCATAAATTAATATCTTACCTTTTCCCCCCCTTTTTCATTAATGAGGCTTGAACTCAGGGCTTCTTGCTCATTTAGCAGATTCACTTGAGCCACACTTTTAAACTGTTTGCCCTGGTTATTTTTGAGATAGAGTTTTGATTTTGCTGAGCCAACCTGAGCCATTATCCTTTGATTTATACTTCCTCTATAGGTTGGTGATAGGTATGAACCATTATACCTTTCATCATCCAACCCCACCCGATGCCACTATGCCTTTCTGTTTCTGTTGAGATAAGTTCTCTTGAACTTTATATATATATATTTTTTTCTTTTATTTATTTATTTTTGTCGGTCATAGGGGCTGAACTCTGAGCCTGGGTGCTGTCCCTCAGCTCAAGGCTACTACTTGAGCCACAGTGCCACTTCAGCTTTTTTTCTGCTTATGTGGTGCTAAGGAATCGAACCCAGGGCCTCATGCATACGAGGCAAGCACTCTATCACTCAGCCAACTTCCCAGCCCGTCCTCTTGAATTCTTTTGCCTAGACTGGCCTAGAATTGCAGTCCTCCCAAATCTTAGCTCCTCTTGTATCTTAAGATGAAAGGGGCATGTCACTATACCCTGCTATTTGGTTGAGATGGGCTCTTTCTAACTTTTTGCCTAGGCTATCTAGCCTTCAGTGATGATTCCCTCATCTCTGCCTTCTAAAAGGCTAGGATTACAGTCATTAGCTATTGCTGCCTGGCTGAGAATTTTTTACTTCTCAGAGTTTTTCAGATCACTCTGTTGCCTTTTGGTTTGAACAGGATTTATTTCCCCATGTAGTTAATTCACAGTTTGCAGGGAAATTGGTTCCAGGAAACCCCCATATGGATAGCATGTATAAACCTCTAGATGGCTGATAATACCAACTACAATGAAAGTGCTATATAAATCAGAGTTTTCCTATAATGTTTAGGGAATAATGACAAGAAAAATGTCTATACAGCAGCATTATCTTTTTAAAATTTTTATTTTCATTTTATAGTTAGTTGAATCTACTGATATAGAACCTTAAGATCTGAAGGGCTGATTTCATTTTGAAATAAAACTGAGCTTACCAGCGTGCTTTCCTCACTGTGTGTTAGTTTCACACCATTACATATCCTTTGCTTTTTTTCCACTTTCCAACTAATAAATTTCTTAACTACTGTGAATTGAAGTCACTATACCTGAAGTGAACATTTTTAACTTGTTATAGATACTTTTAATCACTTGTTGGCAGTTTTGAAAGTCAGAAGAAATGTGGTAGTATCTTGCTAAAAAGTTGGAAACACTTTAAACTTTATCAATACTTGCATTTCTTAAAGATACTAAAGGCCAGGGTTTTTTGTTGTTTTTGCTTTTGTTTCTATATACAAGTTATTGTCAAATGACACTTTAGCTTTGAAGTAAAGCCCAAGGAAAAGATCAACTGGAAATGTCATATTGATTGATATATTTAAAAAAGATTACTTTAGAGCCTAGGTTTTTAAATTACTATGAAAATGGGAATCAAATTATTTGAAATCACAATAGTCTTTTAAACTTTATATTGAGAGAAAAGAGGAAGACTGTTGAAAACAGTTGGTTGACAGCAGAGGAAGCTGACTCTTACTTTAAGAACCCTAAATTATAGTAAAACATCTCAAAATATTATTCAATTCATGTTTGTTGCAGGAACTTTTGGCTGACAAATTTCGTGATCCAGAAACATCCTTTGACATCTGCAGTTGTCAGTTTGCTTGTCATTACTCCTTTGAGTCCTCTGACCAGGCGGACACGATGCTCAGAAATGCTTGTGAGAGGCTTAGCCCTGGAGGCTATTTCATTGGCACCACTCCCAATAGCCTTGAACTGATGTAAGTACTTTTAAATGTTTTATAGTTTGCAAAACACTGAGTATTAAGCAAACCAGTGAGTAAGCCATTGAGTGAAGTAGTCAATGTCTGTCACAAATTGAGTTTATAAATAGGATATTTAGTCTCACAAATGCTGAGCACTTTAGTTGTATATTTGAGTAAATACTCCAGGATGAACTAATTCACAGATAAGCTCATAAAAACAAAATCTTTCTATGTATAAGTTGGAGGCTAAATTTAACTAAACTAGAGGCTATCATGATAAGCAAACTGCCAATCCAAAAATGAAGGCTGCAGTAAGTGGTACCTTCAAGCCTGATTTACATATGAGAGACAGTCATGGTCTTTCAGTGCATGACTACTAATTTATTTATGTGCTGGTCCTGGGGACTGGGTATTGTTCTTCAGAGCTTTTTCGCTCAAGGTTAGCATTCTACTACTTATTTACAATTTTACTTATGGTTTTTTGCTTGTTAATTGGAAATAAGACTCTCACAAGACTTATTGCCCAGGCTGGCTTCATACTTAATCTTCAGATCTCAACTTCTTGAGTAAAGTAGCTTGAGAGCAATTAAAAAGCTAACCACTATCTTTTAAAATGGTACCATGTAGTTTTTCACATGTTTAATATGACTGAAAAAGGTATGCTAATCTTTATATTTGGTTGTGGGATAACCCTGGTAGAAGACGCCTTGAAGCTTCAGAAACAGAATCATTTGGAAATGAAATATATACTGTGAAGTTTCAGAAGAAAGGAGATTATCCTTTATTTGGATGCAAATATGACTTCAACTTGGAAGGTGTAGTGGATGTTCCTGAATTCTTGGTCTATTTTCCACTACTAACTGAGTAAGAATGTTTTACTTTATTACTATCCTTTTATTAATAGCACTACTCATCACATTTTAGTGGGAACCAAGAAAAAGTGTGACTTGTTAAGTGGTAATCTTATATCCAGGTTTGGGACAGTACAACTCTTACAGCCTAAGTTTTGTAGTTTTGGGGTTTTTTTTGTCCATTCCTAGAATACATTATCCTGTGGGTAAGAAAAGAAGCCGGTCACCTTCAGTCATGGCAGAAGTTACCTGACCTTATGTATAGCAAAAACTTGATGTAAATGCTAGTGATTTGGGTAATATATAAAAGGAGTTTTCATTAGCTAAAGGTTCTCCTTTTCATAGAGATAATTGTTTACATTTCAGTATGACTTTGAAATTGCTTGTGTTTCATAGAGCAGTTAAAATCCTGATTCAGGGATGTACATCTCCTGGGCACCTTAGTTCCTAAGTATTATGGCAAACTGTAGCCCTGGAGAAAATTGAAGGCAATGATCAGGCTTATTCTTCCTGCTAGAGAGAAGAGTACAAAGTCAACTCAAATAGAGGCCATTACTCTGATGGTTGTTGGTCTCAGTGGTGGCAAATGAAGGAGGAAAGGTGGACCTATTTGAAGTTATAAAGTACAGAGAACTTAGTGGTACATTGACCACATTAGGTATAGGGAAAAGAGAAGATTTTATTGTAGGAATAATGATTGTCAGAAAAATAATCTTGTGAGGTTCAGTCTTATATTTGAGAAATTAAGAGAATGTCTATGACATCTCCAAGGGGTAGGATTTCTATGAGCAGTGGAGTTGATGTCCCAAGAGCCATGTTCTAGATAGCTTTAGGCACCCGTGGAGCCAGTTCTTCAAAACCTTTAACATCTAGAAGTTTGGTTAAAAAAAAAGAATTCTAAAACTACAAAGAAGTAGTTTGAGATGTATAGTAAAAATTAATAGTATATATCTTTGCTAGAGGATGGAATCCAGGAAGTAGAATAAACTTTTTTACAAAGTGTTGGGCTAGACATTGTACTCCTATAGTCCCAGCTACCTGGTGATGAGACAGGAGGATCAACAAAGTTCAAGTCTTCCCCAGGCAAAGACACCAAATCCCTATCTTAAAAAAAAACAACACAAACGAAGAAGGGCTTGGAGACACAGGACAAATAGCTCAAGCAAGCACTTGCATAGCACGCATGAGTCCTTGAAGTCAGACCCCAGTAGTATTAACAAGTAAAAGAAAGCAGCTGTTTTTAATGCAGCTAGGTTTGGAGGGAGCGGGTCAAATAAGTAAAATAGCATGGGCAAAAAAAATATTCCCTAAAACTCTCCATCCTTCAGCCCCTGAGGCTATCACATTTCTCCGCTATCTACAGGCATTTAGAAGCTTATTTTATGTGGGCACAGTTACTAAGTTCCTCCTTTAAGTTAGTATTACACTGTTGTGAACTTAGGGAGAGAGTACTAGCTTTCTTTTTTGTTTTTTTAATTTAATTTTGTTGTAAAGGTGATATACAGAGGGATTACAGTAATGAGTACATTTCTTGTCGAATATTGTTACCCCTTCCCTCATTTGCTCCCGTTCTCCCTCCCCCCAACCCACCCTCCCCCGCAAGTTGTAAAGTTTATTTCCAACAAAGTGTCTTGTGAATATTATTGTTGCATTGGTTGACCCTTTGCCCTTTGTCTCACTACTTCGTTCCCCTTTCCTTCCCCTATATACAAGACACAGGGTACCAGATTAAAAATAGTGACAATAGGATAAACCAAAGGGGAGGAGAAGAAAAAGAAATAACTTCATGCAGTACATTAAAAAAAAAAAAAACCCTCCTATTTCCAGATCGTGGAGTTCATTTTGATTAGCATCATTTTATATTGTCATATATACATAGCTATTGAGCTATTTATTGTAAGCCGCTGCTAAGACTATGATGGACATATACTAACTTTATTTATTTATTTATTTTTGTTGGTTGTGGGTCTTGAACTCTGGGCCTGGGCACTGTCCCTGAGCTCTTCAGCTCAAGGTGAGCGCTCTACCACTTGAGCCACAGTGCCACTTCCAACATATACTAATTATTACAAATGAGGGAAACCCAGCAGCCTATGTTTCTTTGGGTCTGGCTTACTTCACTTAATCTGTCTTTTTCCAAGTTTTCTTATGACTATGTCATTGTGGTAGTACAAAAAGAAGCTGTTGAGGAATTACAAATATTTGGAATCCTTTTCATTAATCTGTTTTGGACAGAATGGCAAAGAAATACAACATGAAACTAGTCTACAAGAAAACATTTCTGGAGTTCTATGAAGAAAAAATTAAGAACAATGAAAATAAAATGCTATTGAAGCGAATGCAGGCCCTAGAGGTAAGAATCCAGAAAGGCTATAAAAATTCCAAGTTGTGTTGAACTTGTTTTTAAGATCTTTTCAAGGCTATATAGGCATAGGGAATTACAACTGTTCAGGACTTAGCTCCCAGACAAATTAATACAGAAGTTTTCTATGGTGGGTGTTCAGTATTTGGCGAATGAATGAGTGATGCTCTTATCAAATTCAAACAGTTTCTCCTTCAGCACTGTTGACATGGTGGACTGGAAAGATGTTATTGTGTGCCCTGTAGAGTTTACTGTAGCATTCCTGGCCTTTACCATCTAGATATTTGCCAGCAGTGTCCCAGTTGTGACAGACATGAGTAAATGTCCCCCAGAAGGAAAAAATACCTTTAGATATGAACTGCTTCTTTATAAGAGTGTCCTGTGATTATTTCAGTAGTCCAAGGCAGCTCCTCCCATGCACGATTGTGTTCTTTGATGACTGTCTAGCAAGACTTTATCTTTTAGAATGTGGTAAAACTAAGATTCACTTTACTGCCTGGACCCAGGCACGTTTTCTCATACAACAGTTCAAGGAGTCTGTGCAACTTTGAACCTACAGCCATCAGTTGCTTTCCTTTTTATCTCTATTAAACAGGTATAAAATATTCAGTGAACATGTTTGCTATTGATAAGAATCACATGTCAGCAGAACGTAGTCACCAAATGGACATTAAACTTTAGATAATTCAGTTTAATATATTTATTCTCTTAAGTACTTTAGGCTTACTGTCTTATCCTCATAATTAACCTCATGAAGAAAGTAAAGTTTTCACAGTTTTTAACTGGGAAGTCTTAGGCTCAGAGAGGATTAAGTGAAGGGTTTAAGGTTACATAGCTGTTAATTTAGATTTTCTTCTATTTTTGTATTGGCAGTCCAGAAGGTTACTATATACCCACTCCCTCATGAGTAGGAAGATCAAGTCCTAACTTGTCTTTTGACACCCATAATCATTGTATTTTCTATTACTTAGGATTGTTTACATTTGCTTTGTATTAAGAATAGGAGCTTATTTTGCTTGTTTTTAGGGAGAGAAAACTAGAAAATGTGTGTTTATTAGTTTCCTAGGCTGGCACACCTTTAGCACATGCCTTTCTTCGTGGGGCTTTGCTTCCACAATGAGCACTCATTTATATTTTCCTTAGCATATAGGCAGTGAATTCATTTGTCATTTATCTTAAAATGTACTCCAGATAATGAGATAGGAGAGAAGAAAGATCTTCAAAAGATAAAGAGACATTGAGAACAGCAGCAGTGGTAAAGAAAAAGCAAGGTGTAATAATACACAAAAGGGCAGGAGAGAGTGGGAATGTTTGAGGAGCTGATAGTAATTTGTATTTCTTTAGCGCACTGCTTTTCTACCCAGTCCCCATTCTCCACCCTGCTGTTAGGGACATGAACCTATGACTAGGTCTGTTTTAGACACAGCAATAACAGCAATAGTTCAGAAAGACTAAAAACAAAATTTTCCCCTACTTCATGACAAAGTCACTTCCTGAAGGATGTGTGGAGCAGGAGAGGACATGATGCCACTTGAGTAGCATTAGGGAGGATGATTTGGAGGGACATTGAGACCAGAAATTAGAGCAGTCAAGATGCTGCACTATAGTTCAGAGGTTCAAGTGGATCTACCTGATATTTACCATTAAAAAGTCATTTCCTGAAGCATCAGCCTTCAGCTGGCCCAGACTTGCAGCTTTCCTAGAGTGCGCAGTAGCGGAAGAAAGAATGGAAAGACGTGGTCTGCCAAGGAACTGTACACACCACAGCCTGACACCCACTTGCTGTTTTTACCAATGAATTTACTCTGGGAAAAGTTCTGGAAAAGTAGCTCCTTTGAGAGGAGATCCTAGCATATATTCATTTTAGTAAGCTTTTTTGGGAGGAGGGGGTCACTTTTGTAACTTTAATATGGTCTTTCAAAATGATTAGTAGGGGAGAAGGCGTACACTGACTGGAAGGCACATGATCTGGTGGAACTGTACAGTGAGAAGTTGGAGAACAAAATAGATTTATGACAGAATGTTCTGTAAACCATTCAGAATAAAGTTCTGAAGCTTTATGACATAGTGATAGTATTGTAAGATAGATAGAATTTTTTAAAAATAGTGTTATATTATGCCTTGCATTAAGATGTGCTAAAAAGTAAAATAATGCATATAAAATGAAATTCCCAAATAGCTCAGTACTTTGTGTGGGGCTTTTGGGGGTTTGATTTTTAATTCACAGTCTTGCTATGTAGCCCTAGAACTCATGATCCTGTTTGATTCCACCTCCCCAATGCTTGGATTACAGACACCTGGTGCTATACCCAGCCTGACCCGTACTCTTAAATAGCAAATGAATGGCTTAAATTTTTTTTTTTTAAATTGTAGGGTGAACTGAGAGCCTGGGCTCTGTTCCTGAGCCTCTTTGTACTCAAGACTAGCTCTCTACTACTTGAGCCACAGAACTGCTTCCAGTTTTTGACTGGTTTGTTGGATATAAGAGTCTCACAGGGACTTCTCTGCCCGGGCTGGCTTTGAACTATAATCCTCAGATCTCAGCCTCTTGAATAGCTAAGATTACTGGCATGAGCCACTGGCACCCAGCAATAATAACTTAATTTTTAATGCCTGGACTTCCTTTAAATTGTTTTTAAAGAGAAAGGAAAAAGAAGAAAGCACACTAGGTGTTTATGGATCATTTTCTTAAAAGTCCCTTCTAGAGACCTAGGTTTTATTAATTCCTTTCTATCTGGTTTGTGGTTATATGACAAAAGTTATACAAAATATATAACCTTTATAGGTACAGTATTTATCTAGACATGCCTATAATTGTACCTACTCAGTGAGCTAAGCTCTGAAAGAATTAAGTTCCAGGCCAGCCTAGGCTGGGGGTGTGGCTCAAGGAGTAGAATACCAACCTACCAAGCACACGTCCCTAAGTTAAAATTCTTGAACTGTCTGAGGGAGGGAATACACACACACACATACACACACACACACACACAATTACGCTTTGAGTTGCATGTATTAAAAAAAGATAGATTATTTCATAGTATAAAGCAATATTATTTCAAATTGGTTAAATACCAGTTGAGGTAATTAGAAACTTTTTTGTCTGTTCTGGGGTTTGGACATAAGAGTGTCAGGGACTTTGCTATATAGGCTGGCTTTGAACCCACAGTCATCAGATCTCAACCTCCTGAGTACTAGGATTATAGGCATGAGCCACCTGTGCTTGGCTTGACTTAACATTTTCATTTTTATTATTTCTAGTTGATAATGTTGATAAATTGCCATTGTGTTAATATTTAACTCTTGATAATATCTTCTATATAGCTGAAGAAGCTCTTGACCAGCAGTCAGAAAGATGCAGAGGTTTGCTACTAATGGTCCTTGGTTGTGATAAACTATGGAGTTTATTTCAGCTTTAAATTTTCCAAGAATATGCTTTAAGAGAAAATTCCCTCTTATTCTTTTTTATTCATACTTTTAAATAATATATAGTCTGTAGTCCTAAACTAATATTCCAGGATTATTCTTAGTATTTTATTTTAGTGCTTTACTGTGTCAAATTCTGATTTACAAATTTCAATGTAATAACTAAAGATTTCATTTGTTTCCCCCAGCCATATCCTGCAAATGAGAATTCTAAACTTACCTCTGAAAAGGCGGATGACTATAAACATGCTGCAGAGTACATGAAGAACAGTCAAGTAAGATTACCTTTGGTAAGTTTAACAGAATTTTACAGAGAATGAGCGGGGAATCATACATTATGTGGAGGTTTCACTGACCAATTCATGTGTTCACAATACTGAATTACAAATCAAATATATGGTAGTCTGTTCCTCCTAAGTTACGGTAGCTTTTGAATGGGACATGGGATAAACTTACTTCAGTGAGTTCAGAATGTGTCATACCTGAGGCAGTAGAGTAGGGAAGGCTTGCGTTACAAGATTCTTTTTTTTTAAATTTTTTTTTATTGTGAAAATACCGTACAGAGGGGTTACAATTACATGAGCAAGGTAATGAGTATATTTCTTATCAAGCATTGTTGCCTCCTCCTTCCCCTTACCATCCCTGCCCCCTGCCCCACCCCGGGCCAAAGTTGTAAAGTTCGTTTTTCAACATAATGTCTTGTACATCTCATTGTTGCAATGGGTCCACCTGTATCCCTATTTAAACATTTTGTTTTTTCCTTTCCTCTCCCCAAATTATACCAACATCAAATACAGTGAAAACGGGTTATGCCGGGGGGGGGGGGGGGGGGGGGGAAGGGACATACAAAACAACAACAAAAAAAATCATCTTATAAATATGTTAGAAACAATAGCAAGAAAGAAAAACCATTTGAGTCCTTATCTTGGGGTTCATTTTGCCTAACATCAACTTATCTGACAGTTTCTGCTTGTCTCAGACATACATAGTTATTGTAAATAAGGGAGGTATATATACACAATAGAATTTTATGCCTCCATCAGAAAGAATGACATTGCCCTATTTGTTAGGAAATGGAAAGACTTAGAAAAAATTAAGTAAAGTAAGTCAGGCCAAAGAAACATAGGTCCCATGGTTTCCCTTATTTACAAGATTCTTTGTTCTCAGAAATGCCACTGACTCTATGTTCCAGACACAGAACTCAGACTACCATGAGGTTAAATGCAGAAGTGGGTGCAAAGTGAATGTACAAAGTGTGAAAACTGCCACACTTTTTAAAAATTAGGAGTGTGATAATACCACAGTGATTATGAGCTCTAGCTGAGCTTCATCATCAGTAGAACAACAGTTCCATATCAAATTTCTAAGATATCTTTGAATACTGTTCATATTCATCCCTTCCAAATGACACCTAGAACTGATGCTGCTGAGTCTCAGTGGCATGTGCAAAGCACATACTGTGTTGAAATGTTTCATTTATGTTAATTCATTTCTTTTATGATATATACTTTGTTTTGTGGTTTCTTTGGAAAACAAAAATAATACTCCCTCCTCCAGTGCTATTTACTGTTGTAAAAGTTTCAGATAGATGCATTTTATAGTTACGTACATACATACCATCTCTCCCCTTCCTCTCTTCTCTCATTTCCTCTCCATCTCTCCCTATCTCCTTCATTCTCTCTCTCTCACTCTAATACTTTCACTATACACATTCAACCTTTTTGGCAGGAGGGAAAAAATGGTAAGATATCACTAAAAAGAAATCTCATTGATTTATGTGTATAACACACAAAACACATACATACATACATACATACAGTGAAATAAGGAGATTTTAGCTACCTCCAGCCACTATTGAAAAATAAGCGTATGTTTACTTCCATTTTGAATCTAAAATTCTCTTTTTAATTTTAGGGAACCTTAAGTAAGTCAGAATGGGAAGCTACAAGTAAGTATGTCATCTGTTTAAGTGAGCATTTCAGAGATTCAGTTTCAAAGTATCATTAATGCTTGAAAGCTTTAGAGTTTTTCTGGCACATTTTAGGTTGTATTTGTATACACAAATCTGTATTCCTGTATATATGTAATCTTTCTTGCTATGTGATGATGAGGGGAAATCTATTTAGACTCTTGCTCAACATAAACTTTGATGAGCATCTGTAGATGTTTCTTATTACTAAACAGCTGTCTCTGATTTCTTTACCTCAGAATTCTGTTTGATCTCAGGCTTCACTCATTCTAGGCAGGCACTGTTATTTTTGAGCCATGCCTCCAGCCCTTTTTGTTCTGACTGTATTTGAGATACAGTCTTTGTTTTTGCCTGGGCTAGTCTACACTGCAGTCCTATTCATGCTTCCTTCCGTAGGTGAGATGACAGATACACACCATCGAACTCAGCCTTTGCTGTTGAGTTGAAGTCTCACAAATATTTTGCCTAGGTTGACTTTAATCTTTGGTCTTTGATCTTTGAACTTATCCACTCTTATCCTCCTGGGTGACAGGTGTTCACTACCATGCCAGCTGCTGGTTGAGATGTCGTCTAATGACCATTTTGCCTACGTTACCTGGACCTCCAGTCCTCCATATCTCAGTCTTCTGAGTAGCTAGGATTACAAGCATGAATCACTAACATCCAATATTTTTTGTTTTTGGTTGGTTGGTTGGTTTGGTTTGATTTGTTTGGACAGGGTCTTGCTATGTGGCCCAAGCTGGTCTTGAATTCACTGTATAACATAGATTTGCCTGGAGTTCAGTTCTCCTCCCTCTCCCTGGACTATATCACAGGCAAATGATGACTCAACTTCCTTAGTAAGCCCTATAGTGCCACACTTGGGTAATTGGATGGATTTTAACATGTCATATTATGTGTGTCTCTTCTATTTCTACTTCATAGTTCTCTGTTACATGTACCCCTCATATTCTTATTAGTTTTTAAGTTTTTGTAAATAGAAATTTTAGATTGCTACAGCTAGTAGTACTTATTGTAAATGTAATTATTCTTCTACCTACTAACTTGCTCCAGGTAAAAACATTTGAGTGCTTAAGATGCTTTTAGTTTAGTTTTTGTTGCTTTTATACTTTGTTTTTATTATGTTAAACAGTTTTAAGGGATTTATTAGACCTGATAAATTCACTTTCCCATGGCCTGTGATTTCTCTATTATGGGCAGTATTCATTTTGACATAAACATTTAACAATCTCTTACTGCCTAAATATGAAGCAAATAATACAGAACTTTTGAAATTGTTGGTTTTTCTTCCTCAAAAGCTACTTGAGAAGTGGGCATCAGTGGCTTACGACTATAATCCTAACTACTCAGGAGGCAGAGATCTGAGGATCACAGTTCTAAGCCAGCCCCGGCAGGAAAGGCCATGAGACTCTTATCTCCTGAGCAAACCAGAAGTGGCACTGTGGCCCAAGAGGTAGAGCACTAGCCTTGAGCTGAAGAGCTGAGGGACAGTGCCCAGGCCCAGAGTTCAAGCCCTATGACTGACCAAAAAAAAAAAAAAAACTACTTGAGAACCTAAGAGCTCTCACCAAGCTATAAACCAGATTGCAGTTGTTTTGTTTATCTTCAAGAGATGAGAAACTAAACACAACTTTTATTTCTTCCTTAGGTATTTACTTGGTTTTTGCCTTTGAGAAGCAGCAATGAGCACTTAAACAACTGTGCCAACTACCACTCCGTCCTTCACAGATTGGAACAATCCATCTCAGATAGATTTGATAGCTGTATGTTTAATATAAAACTGACCGTAAATGCCGCAGAAACTCCATTGTATAAATTGAATATTTGTCTGTGACAGACTAACTTGGCGTGTATATAGAAGAATGATTTGAGACCTTCGTCTTTAAAAATCTATTTTTGAGTAGTGTTCTAAGAATTCCCATTCGTCTCTATAGTCTTAGCGCATAAAAATGATACTTGTTAAAGCAGCTGATCTCTGCAGTACTGATCGTTGAGTGTGTGTTTACAGAGCTGACTTATGACAGCTGTAGAATTAGCGAGAGCAGATTGGCTTGCCAGTGTGCACTCATGTTCAGTTTTGTTGCAGTGTTTTTCAAGATAAGTAGATTACAATCTGTACGTTTGAATGTACAGTATATATTGCTAAAGTTAAGTTTAAAACTTGATTTTAGATGGTCATAAAAGTTATCTAGCTAGAATTTTACCAATTTATTGCATTTTTATAAAATAGCTGCCGAATATGCTGCAATTCTAGAGTTATTTAGAACATTTTAGATGGCAGCATGGAATTATTTTGGAATTTTTTGGCTTTGAAGAATTTCCTACCATAGCAGTTACTGTATTGCTATTTAAGGTTGTAATTAGACATGTTGATTTTCTTCACTGAACAATGATGCTGTGCTTAATTTAGTGGTTTTGTGAAAATCTTCTTTGATTTTTTTCAGATGTACACATGGCGCTGTAAGGAAGCGGTAGACAGACTTCAGGTTGATTGTCACTAGTGTTAGGCAGGTTACTGATGAGGAGCCCTTCAGTCCAGGGTCAGCAATGCCTGTTGCTCTCTCTGTTGCATAGTCAGTACTTTCATTGTCTAATTGCCATTCAAAAGTCTGTTTGCCATTTCAGCACCACTATAATTATCATTAAAATTGTCACAGTTATGTAATTAACTTCCAGAACCAAAACTTGTATGGTTTGTGTCATTCTTACATTATTCCCTATCCCCCATTTTGGGGGAAACTTGCTAGCTATATCATTTAGGAAACATAACAATTCTGACATATTCCGAGAAATTTAAGAGCAAAGCAGAGCAATTACAGTATTTTTTTTTTTTAAAGATTATGTGTTTGCAACATGGTTTAAAAAGACATGCGTTCTATAAATATTCATAATACTTGATTTAAAACATTCTTAGGGCCAGGTGCCAGTGGTTCATACCTGTAATCCTAGCTACTCAGGTGGCTGAAACAAAGTTCCAAACCAGCCCAGACAAGAAAGTCCATGAGACTCTTATCTCCAATTAACCACAAAAAGCTGGAATTGAAGGGTGTAGCTCAAGTGGCAGAGCTCTAGCCTAGTAAAAAAAAAGCTAAGAGACAGTACCCAGGCCCTAAGTTCAAGCCCCAGTATCTGCTTACAAACATATACACATAAAATAAAACATTGTTGTAATTTTCATTGATTGTTCGTGATGTTAGCTTAGCTAACCTTTTAGCAAGAGAACATGGGTTTCTACATTTCTGTTTCTTCTGCAATCTGTCATTTTAGCAGAAATTCTTTTTTGCTTTCAAGATGGTTTGCCTGAGTCACTTGGAAAATTAACAATAGTACATTGGATTGGGTCTTCCCTGTCGTTGGCCAGGGAAGATCAGGCTATGGCACTGAGGAGGGAAGGGGAAGCTTGGTCATAAATTCCCATCACTGTTATCTTATTGTCTGAGTTAACACATAATATCTGTATTCTTAGTCTCAGAAGAGAAGAATCCACCACAGAATGGAATTAGTGGTAATACAAAGGAAGAAGCAAAATAAGGAGTTCCAGGGCCTTCACTGAAGTTAAGGGAGCAGAAACAGCTGGATTAGGTCTGGGTAGGGACGCTGGGCTATTACAGGAACTGGAAAGCTCACATAAGGCCTTGCCTCCGGGGTGCCCTTACCTCCTTACCTACTCTTCCTCACTTCCATACTTTTCCTTGCTACAGGTAAGCAACTCAATAGCAACTAAAGATGAACTGTTAGGACAAGGGCTGGAAAAGGCAGTCCCCACCTTTCCTATTACCATTCCCTATCACCAAGATGCAGGCTTCCAGGGCTCTTCTGCACACACTATAGTCTAAATGTTTGTTTGGGTCCAGCTTTATGGTAGCTGGAAGGGAGTCATGGCTTGCCGCTATTGGCCAGGAGAGGACCTGTGTATGGGTTTGGAGACGCAGGCAGTTCATGGGAAATTACACAAGGGACACTCCCAGACCTACATTCGCTCTGTAGTGTGAGTGGGAAAGAAAGAAAATCAAATAGGCCATTTGTGGGAACAGCGCATTCTGTACTTGGGATAATGAGACATGGCTGCATTGAAGTGTGACACTCAATTCTTTGGGCCTAGAATTTTTATCCCAGTAGTGACAGCATTCAGGGGAAAAGCTAATGAGTCCTGGTAGTCAAATCTCTAGCCACACCTGTGGTATTTTAACCTACAGAGTACAGTGAACATGGTAGAGCAACATTGGACTGAGCCTTGCTGTGCCTTTGGTGTACTCAGTGCTCTGGTGACTGAGCCTGGTATGACTCCTGAAAGAGACCTTCAATGAGAAGAGAAAAAGGTGTTGAGTAAGGATAGCCAGTGTCAGATGTTAATGAGCCCATGTGGTGACTGCTTGACAGGTTATCAGTACAGTGGATTCTCTGGCCCATGTGCCTCCACTCTTGGAAGCTAAGGAAACTAGATTGCTGTCTGACTTAATGTGTTGAGGGAAGATCAGAGCAGAGGGTACAAGATCAGTCAGACTTTGGGCAGGATTGATCCACAGTGAATAGCAGAAAAGCCTGTCAGCCAGGAAGTGTCTCAATTCCCAGGCCTACTGGCTTTTTTGAGCATATATCTTTCAGCCTGTCTAAATTTGTTGCCATTTTGTTTTCTTTCTAATGGAAGTTTCGTTTTTCATGCAGGTAAGCCTACAGGGTGAACATGGCATGTGGTGAATTGTCTAGCTATTGGAATTTTCATTATGTAAATCCATTTTTTCTCTTGTCTACCTCAGGCTTTGTATGTACTAGGAGTATCAAGTCAGTGATCACCAGGGTCTCTAGGTCTGCCAAGTAGAGGCCAGATCTAGGAGCCAGGGTTCCATGCAAGTTACACGAATGTGGCTGTGGTGTTTACTACTGGCCAGTGGTCAGATGGGAACGTAGGTATAAGGGCACAACCTCCAGCTATTGTGTCACACACTACAGCTTTTTCATTCCCATTCTCTGAAAGCAACATTCCTAATTCTGTGAAGATCTGGTGGCAGTGGCCATTATACTGAGGGATAGATACACATGGGCCTGGGCTAGGACAGTATCAGTCCTTCCCCTTATGTGTTTAGAAATTGGTTTGTGTTCTGTGTGTAGGCCTGAGGCACGTATGCTTGCTCACAGGTGTATTATTGAGGAGGTAGAAGACACCCAGGAATGCCCGACAATTTGGCAGGGGAGGGTTTTCAGGTGACCCAAAGCGTCTGCTGCTAAGACCTACTAGTCTGACCGGGGCTACTTTGGGAACAGCATTTCTGGGTGAAACTGAATTGAAAACTCAAAAATTTATGAAGATAGTTGCTTTTCTGAGGGTTTTACCTATAACTCGTTTGTCTTTACAACAACTCTGAAGTCCGTGCTATTGTCATTTTTAATGACAAGAAAACTGAGGCACAGGGAGAATATAAATTTACCCAAGACAAAGGCAACTTTTAACATGCCCACCCCAAAGCAGGCTACAGCCCTTCAGCATGTCATACACCTGCAAGGATGTTAACCAGGTGTGTGCTCACCCACCCATACCTGCAGCCTGAGGGGAACCCCATCATTTTGGTTTCAAAACATACATATTTACATGTTCTGGAGAGAAGTGCTCATTCCTGAATAAGAGGAATACAGTCAGCCAGTGAGTGGACTGGAGAGAACAGAGATTGACCAGGCCTTCCAGTGTGGAGACCTCAACAGCCACCCCCGGATGGTCTGTATACAAGGTGGGGCGGGGGGGGGGGGGTAGTAGTCAGGAGGAGGAGAAATGTTTCAGACAGCAGAGAAGGCGAGTTTTGTTTGTTTCAAATGCTATACTGAGGTACAGCATTATACAGACAGGGCAGCAGTCTCACAAGCCGACGTGGATGTACTTAAGTCTTAGGAGCCCCTGTTAGGCTCCTTGTCAGCCACTGTACTTCCTCAGCTATCACTACTACTTCCAACAGCAGAAACTGGTTTTGTCCAGCTAGGGATGTTATATAAGGGGAATTCAAGATTATACATTCTTTGTATCTGGCGTCTTTCACTCAACTGTGTATGAGATTTTTATTGTATGTGGTTGTACATGGTTCATTCTCATGAATCTACAGTATTCTATTGTGTGAATAAACTATTTATCAGATGGATGCTTGGTTCATTTCCAGCTTGGGAACATTAAACCACCTGGTTGCTCAACTTCACCTGAGTTGAAACCCCAGTACCATGGAATGTTTTTATTCTGGATACAAGTTTTGTTGAATGTATTTATATTTTGAGAGTATATTTGACAAAAAGTTCTTAATATTATTTGTAGAAATAGGTCAGTGATCTTTATTACACAAGTTTTACATAAGAAATGTTCGTATACTCCAGAGTCATGCAGATGGTTTCCTGTTTTCTTCCAGAATCATTATTTTAAATCTAAAATTATTTATGTGGTTAGTTATTTTGGGTGATTCTTGACTTCCATTCGTTATGATTTGTTTGGATAGTTTCACTATATTGCAGTAAAGTAAGAGAGAGATCCTGAGAAGGTACAGGAGAAAGAGGATAAATAAGGACAAATTTGGTTGACATGGTTTATTTGCATGTGTGAGAGTGGTATAAATTGTTTCATACCAATTTGATGGCATTAATATGCAGGATTAATAGAAATTTCCCCAAACATACAAACAAGAAAAGAACTGATCACCAAAGCCCACACATTGCAGCTGTACTAGGAGATGTGAATAGCATCATGAAGCAGTTGCTGGTAGGAAAGTAGCTGCAGAGCCCCTATCAGCAAAATTTCAGGAGACAGCACAGAAAGTACAGCAATGAAGTAATCAGAAATTGGGAGCCACTCTGAGTAGCTGTGGACAAGTTAATAGAAGCAATACAGTGAGAAAATTGAGGTCTGGATGGAAGCTCAGCATCAACACTATATTATCAAACTTTCAACCATGGAAACAGCTACCAGGCAGTCAGTACACAGACTAGAATACAAAGTAGTTCCAGTGAAATTTTAAGAAGTAATTAATGCTACAAAGAAAGTCAGAATGATGCAATAAAAACAAGTACAGATGTACATACAGTATCAAGTAGGTTAGATTGTTAAGGTGAGAAGCCACATTTGGAAGGATCAAATCTTGGAGTCTATTAAAAGGTGGGCAACTGCATAGTGGACTCTCAAAGATCAGCAGCCAGCACATACACTTAACACAGCTAGGAAATTGAGCCATGAAGGTCAGAGAGGAAAGAACAAAAACAATACCAACAAGTTCAGCTTCACTGGAGAGCTGAAGTGGGACACCATGGTGACCAGAGAAGAGCCAGGAAACGAGACAGGACAAGAACATGGAGACATGTGGCATGGTGTAATGGTGCCTGAGCTGGTCCAGGCCTAAATCGGGTCAGTGCAGGGGGCCGGGTCACAGGAACTCCCAGTCCCATGCACTGGACTGATAGGTTTAGTAACGTATCAGTCAAGTGCCCACTCCTGCCTCCAGGGATTTAGGCACACCCATCACCTGGGTGGTGGGGGCTTCACCTTCCCCTACCATGAAGACAAGATGCCAGACCCTACCATCCACCATGTGGCCAAGATGGTGCTGGTCAGATCCTACTTCATTATTGTCAAAACCATCCAAGAAATGACATTACAACTCAAATTAGAATGTCCCAAAACAAAAGGAAATCGAAGTAAATCTGC